TCCCTCAAGGCGCCGGGGATCAGCCCTCCGGGGACAGAAGCCCTCAGCCCCAGGAGCTCCCGTCTGTCCTTGGTGCAGGGGTGCCCTGTGGCGGGTGACCTCAACGTCTACAATCTTCCCAGGCTGGGTACCACATGCCCCCACACCCCACACCGGGGGCTTGGGCCATCCCCTCCCGGGAGGTCAGAGGACACCACCGCCGCAGAGAGCTCTTGCATTCATGTGGCACGTCTGCGTCCAACATCCACGCCCTGAGGCCGGGCCCTGCAGCAGGTACCGCCCACTCCCAGCTCTCCATGGGGAGGGCCAGCTCACAGGAGCCCCTGCCCGGCAGCCGCCAAAACCCCCATGTGCCGTGCCCACAGCAACTTAGACACTCGGGTGAGCGCCACCTCCAGGGGTTTGCAGACCCTGCCTCACCCCTGCCTCTCCCACCCAGACATTCTATGTCACAGTACACACACACACACACACACACACACACACGTGTACTCATGCTCACATACACAGACATGCAATCACACACACACACACTTATGCCTCCCTCACACAGACACACCCTCACACACCTGTACAGACATGCACTTACACACACGCAGAGTCACATTCACACATGTACACACACATACAAACACGCAGAGACACAAACATATATATACCCACTCATGCAAACATACACACACATGCCCACATACGCAGACACACCTGCAGACACACACACACACGCAGACACAGAGAGACACTGAGATATGCACATGTGCGCATGCATACACAGACATGTACCCACATATCCAAACACAGGAACACACACATGAACAGATATGAACACACACAGACACACGCCCAGACCTACAGGGATACACATACACACACACAGAGCCACATGTTCAGACACATGCATATACACATGAACAGACACACACAAGCACACACATGTGCATGTGCGTACATACACACAACATGAACATATGCACCCAGACACACACGCACAGACACACGCACAGACCACACACATGTGCACACACACACCCGCTCACTGGCCCCGTCAACTCCGAGGCGAGCTCCGCGCGTGCCTCTGAAGTCCACGTGCAGAATCTCGAAGCAGACACTTGCCTCCCGTGCTGGCGGCTGTGGAGGCCGACTCGGCAGAAAGCGCGGCCTCGGCCCCATGGGCCGGTGCCTCCTTACCTGCAGGATCAGCTCCTGAAGCTGCGACTGCTTCTGTTTTATTCTCTCGAGCCGCCTCTGTCTTTCCACCTTGAAAGACAGGGCCCGAAGCAAGAAATCACACGGCCGCTCCACACGGCACATTCAGACCCGCGCACACCGCGTCACCTAAGGTCCACTTGGAATTTCACCGAAGGGACATGGACAGACCTATGCAAAATGGGCGCTTTCCTCGACTTCCAAACTGCCCCCTCTCCTCGCACGGCTCGGAGGTCTCATGCAGGTCTGGGCTGACCTGGTCCCTCATGCAGGTCTGGGCTGACCTGGTCCCTCCGGACGCCATGTCTGCTGAGCCTCACAGAAGCGCCCGCCGGGGCGGCCAGGGCCACAGCCACGTGTGTGTCTGTGAACGTGTGTCCGTGTGTGTCCGTGTGCCTGCTTGTGTGTGTGTGTCTGCATGTATGCCTGCCTGTATGCGTCTGCATGCTTATCTGCGTTTGCCTGTGTGTCCGCCTGTGTTCCTACCTGTGTGTGTGTGCACCTGTGAGTGTTTGTGTGTGTGTCTGCGTGACTGTGTGCGTCGGTGTGCACCTGTGTGTGTGCCCCCGTGTTCAGGACGCACCTCCAGGTTCTGGCACTCCTGGGCCGAGTTGGTGGGCAGCCCGATCCACTTGATCTCCTTCTTCTCCTTGGAGATGATGTTCATGGCCATGAGCACGTTCAAGGCATCGTAGACACGCCGCCTGATGTTCTTCTGGTCGTACGCCTGTGGAGGCCCGAGAGGCTTGCAAGTGCGCCCACACGCTGGACCCCGTGGGCGCGCGGCTCACTGGCTGGGGTGGTCTTGAGCCCGACGCGCCCTTTGGGGGCCGTCCCCCTGCCACGGAACGCGATGGAGCCGTGTAAGCCTGAGGCCCTGCGAGGGGGCTATCTCTGCGGAGGGGAAACTCCGGACCGGGCCCCGCTGGCCGCCACGGGGGATGCCGCATCCGTCTGGCAACGCGCCCGCTCCGGTCGGGAAAAGCTCTTTCACGCTGTGCGCGGAACACCGGCGGCCGGAGCCACGCCGAGCCGCACCAGCCCGCCCGTGGCAGCCCTCGCGGGCACACACACCGACTCGCTGGGGAGGATGTGGCTGTCCGCGGCGCTGAACTCGGCCACCAGCTCGTCGGCGACCTCGTTGTAGGACGTTGTCCCCTTGCGCTGCACCTTCTCGCAGACCTTCATGGAGAAGTGCCGCAGCCCCTTGCCGTGCTTCTCGCCCTTCCGG